AGTACAAATTCTGAATCTACTTTTAATGATCTGACAATGGCGACCGTACCCAAAAGTAGATGGTAGATTAATTATTGGAATTAGTTGTTTATTTTCAAAATATATTCCCTTCATTTTTAATTATAATGTGAGTAAGTAGTGAGATTCCATATCAAGTATCCGAAAACTCACATTGTAATCACACTGTAAAATGATTCAGAATTTTGAAATATTGGATTTTAATGTGTATTGTTAAGTAACTTTGTCTGGTCGCAAGATTTTACCATACATTGCATTTTATAAAATATATAATACTAATTAATTGTTATATTTCAGCTTCACAGCTAGATGATCAAGAAATAAATTCTAAAACTATGTACTAGACTTGATTATTCTGTGTATGGGGTGGTGTATAAACAATACATTGGTTAAATAGTTATGCACTTCTATTGTTCCGACACTGAAAGTTATAGAGAGATAAACTAAAAACTGAAAAGTGCACATTTACATCTTTACAATTTGCAATTAACGTACATTTGTTTCAGATGATTATGTTGGCCTGGTTAGGTTGGCCTGGTTATGTTGATCAAGGTTAGTCCATTTTGTCTTGGATATTCATAACAGTGCACTCTTGGTCGTGATATCCAAAATGTGCACTTTTAAACATTGAGCAGATTCTTCTAGATATCTTGATCAAGCGGTGCGTTGATCTAAATATTTTCCTTTTTCATGTCAGAAACACTTTGACTTTAAAAAAAAACATCTCAAATATACAGGGTGAGTCAAAAAATAGTGTGATTTGGGACGCCTGGTGCAGAATTGCACCTTTTTTGTGCAACTTTCCTGTTTGATGCTTTTTCAATTTTTTTTTGATTTGTAAATTTTTCTTTGTTACTCTAATGGCCAAAAAAAACATCCGCGAATCTTTTTTTCTCTCAAAATCAAAAGTTCAGAAAAGCACAAATGTGTATATAAATTATGTTTTTCAAACTTCCATGCAAGCTCTCAACTATATTAAAAGATGGGTTGTATGTATAATTGGGTCTTGGTATGTAAAATCTTTTGAGTTTGCTCTGAAAAAAAATATTTCTGTTCCTCTCAGGGATCATTTCTGTAAAAATATATCTTAAAAAATATGGGATTCGGACATAGACGGTTAATATCAGACATTTTCGATATGATCATTTGTCTGTAAATGAAATTTCCGTCTAAATTTGGTTCAAATTATAAAATTAAATAATGCAGAAGAGGAGAAAAGAAAGGAAGAGGAGCAAAGAAAGGAAGAAGAGGAAAGAAAGGAAGAGGAGGAAAGAAAGGAAGAGGAGGAAAGAAAGAAAATGGAGAAGCAGGAGAAAAAACGGAAGAAAATGGAGAAGAAACAGAAGAAGGAGAGAGAAGAGGAGAAGATGAGAGAAGAGGAGGAGTTGCGAAAACAGAAGAAGAAAAAAAAACAGAAGCAAAAAGAACAAAAACAGAAGGCATGGCAAAGAAAATGTTAATAAATATTAATTTTGAATCTAAGATTTCTTCACATTTTGGTTAAAAACATTTGATAACCATTAATTTTAAGACCTCCGCAAAATGTTGTCTTCAACTTGAATCTCCTCTCGGAGAAAGCCAAACCAAATTTTCAGCCCGCATTTCCTTTGTACTCTGTCCTACGAAGCTGAAAATATTTTCGTTATTGTGAAATCATTAAAGTTAAGCAAGAATATTTTCATAAGAAGCATCAGTGAATTTCGTTAAATATTCAAATGTAATTTTTCAGAAGTTTAAAAACGTATTTCAATACTGATCAACAATAAGTCTCCCCCTATCACAACCTAATAAATCTTAAGATTTTTCTATCATTAATATTCATTATAACATTGTTCAAATAACCATGACCTATAATTTATGTTATTTTTTAGGAAATAAAGCTTTTGTTATCGATTTCTTGAGACGGGGTTACTCTGTTGTGTGTATTTGCGGCTGAACGGAAAGGAATTATCTGGACTGAATTTAGTTTCCTCCCTGGAGTTCCGACGGGCCTTTTTAATCCAAATTTATCTAGTGTGTTGCTGTTATCTGTCAACATTTCGATTTATCCCCCCTGGTGGATATTTAAGACAACCTCGAGATGAATCTGACTACTCCTCTCCATGGGGATCCTCTCAACGACCTTCCTCCTGAAACCCCTCATCAGGAAGCTCAAAGATGTACAAGAAACAATCCCTGCAGAATGCAAGGATGCATGATATGCCCTACACCTACCAACCATGTCCGCAACCTAGACGAGGAACTGAACATCGACGAATTCAACTCAACCCCCCCAACCCCTGCCGACCTCCCTCAACCCCCTCCAGATCACCTCATCTCGATGCTTACCCTCAGGCTCCACACAGTAATCCAACAAAACAACGTTGGACTCATGAAAAGCACCATCAAACTGCTAGAGAAATCAATGGAGTCAAACTTTGACTTTGTTCTGTACGACTGCTCCGCCTTCGACACCGCCTGGAAGACCGCCTCATTCATTCTAGACACCCACACCTCCATGTCCTCCGTCATATCTGACCCCCCCCCCTTCCTCTCAACAACCTCATGCCAGTTTCAAGCCCCCTAAGCTTGACACACCAACCTTGAGCGGCAAACCTGGGGATTTCTACCCCTGGTTGTCAACCATCCTGAACGGGTTCAACTTGACCCAAGCTGCAGATGTTGTCAAAGTTGCTCTTACCCTCCAAGCCATCCCTCTTGCCAAACGAGGACCCTTCAACAACATTACTGACTGGACCACTTTCAAGACCAAGCTATTTGAAGAGTTCGGAAGTATTGATATCTTTGGAAGAGACGTCAATCAATTGTTCAACCTCCTTCCCCGCTACGAATCAGTCCAGGAGGTCGCCGAGGACCTCACCCATAAGATTAAAACTCTGCAGGCCAACCTGGAAATCATGCAAAATTTCCATGTCAAGGAAGACCTTCATAGTGTTGCCCTCACTCAACCTCTAGTGCAGAACATCATGAAGAGCCTATCTCTAGAAGTGAGACCATCCTTCAACGATCAATTCTCCAAATTCCGTGACCAGTGTCCAGCTAATGTCCGACCTCCGGCCACCTTCTTGTTCCTAGCTAATTTTGTGGAGAAATTAGAAAAGAATTATCGGTCAACTCCTTTTCTCTACAACCTCGACCTCTCCCCAGCAAATGTAGGGATCAATGTAGTTAGACAAGAAGCCTCCAAACCCAAACCTCAGCCTCCGCATCCTTCCAAACCCCAGCGAATTAGTCCTCTGAAGCCCTGTGCCTTGTGCACTGTCATGGGATTTGAGGACAACCATTTCTCCCTCTCCAAATCCTGGCGCTGGCAAGCTGAGTTCTCCTGAGATCCTCAAACTCATCTCTGACAATCATCTCTGTTTCACATGTGTCCAAGCCCATGGGAAGTACTTCAAGTGCAAGACTACCTTCTACAACGGCACCCCCAAAGCGTGTCCCAAGGGTTGCTCGGAAAAGGGAATTCCTGTGCATAGGCGCGCCTGCATGCACAGCAACCAGGCTCCTTTCATCTCTGTCTCCAAGGTCAGCACCAACAAGTCAGTTCCCCTGGTGGAGACCATACTCCTAGGCAACACCCCCATAGGAATCCAATATGACACAGGATGTCAACTTAGCTTCATTTCCAAGTCAGCCCTCTCAAACATCCCTCAAACAATGTACTCCCTTGGGAGTTCATCTCAAGTAAAGATAATGACTTACCCAGCTAGCAAAATAACCGATTTCGGCTATACCGCCTCGTATATACGACAGGCTTCACCAGAGTTGGGCGGAGCTCCGATCATCATGTCCGATATAGGTCCTGGCGGTATAGTAAACGGCACCCACCCAATTTTGTCGTACATACGATGTAGTATATACTATAGCGAAGATATGATCTCCCACATCTAAACACTTCGATGTCGGAACCATGTAGTATATACTAAATCGAATTCTATCTCACCGATGTCTACATTCTACATCGGTAAGAAAGAATTTGATTTAGTATATACTACATGGTACCGACATTGAAGTGTTTAGATGTGGGAGATCATATCTTCGCTATAGTATATACTACATCGTATGTATGACAAATCTGGGTGGGTGCCGTTTACTATACCGCCAGGACCTATATCGGACATGATGATCGGAGCTCCGCCCTACACTGGCGATGTCTTCATTCTACATCGGTGACTTTTCCTCCGATGTCTGCATTCTACATCGGTGACTTTTCCTCCTATGTCTACATTCTATATCAGTGACTTTTCCTCCGATGTCTACATTTTACATCGGTGACTTTTCCTCCTATGTCTACATTCTACATCGGTGACTTTTCCTCCGATGTCTACATTCTACATCGGTGACTTTCCCTCCGAAGTAGAATGTAGACATCGGAGGTAAAGTCACCTATGTAGAATGTAGACATCAGAGGAAAAGTCACCGATGTAGAATGTAGACAGCGGAGGTAAAGTCACCGATGTAGAATATAGACAGCGGAGGTAAAGTCACCAATGTAGAATGTAGACATCAGAGGAAAAGTCACTGATGTAGAATGTAGACATAGGAGGAAAAGCCACCGATGTAGAATGTAGACAAAGGAGGAAAAGTCACCGATTTAGAATGTAGACATGTGCATTCTACACCAGTGATTTTCTTTCCGATGTCTACAATCTACTCTGAGGGAGTGATTGCAGTACCGTCATGAGCTGCGAAAAATGACCTTGTGAACCTCTGGATTTCTTAAAATGTAATAAAACGACAGTATATTTAATTTTGCTTTTGATGGCAAATATAAAATAAGCTTGGAAGTCATTTTTTAAAATTCAGAGTACAATGGGGTAATTTTGCGAGGCTCGAGGCAGCTCTGCACAGCCTTGCCTACCGTTCAAACCTATGCTATAAAAAATAAGGGATGTTTAACTATAGAAATATTATATATCTAAAATGCATTTAAAAATGTAAGTTAAAAAATTCCATCCCTGAGAATCATCCTGAGATTCGTCCTAAGAAGAACCATCCTGAGAGGAACTGCACTCCATAGAGTTCTTCCTCTTCTTTGCTGCTCTCGCCTCAGCTATTTGGATGCGGTCTTTCACACGGCTCCTTGCTCTTAAAACATATTCAGCATTAGCTTTAAATGTATAATATCAGCCAACAAAAATACATAACAGGAATTGCAGAAAAATTTAAACAATATTAAGTAATTGAAAGGAAAAATATTGTTAAACTAGTTATGTATTTCAAGTATGTTACAATTCTTAAATCCTTAATTGTTAAATTTCATTCCAGCTTGAATTAACCTTATTCAGGTCTCTGTCTGATTTACCCAAAAAAGTCCCGGGGAATTCCCCCCCCCCCCCATGATATCAGGATTTATAAATACCTGCGGAACACATCAGCGAAGCCCCTGCGGACTTCAGCCTTCTTGGCGGAGCTTGGATGGTCCACACCGTAAACGTTCATCATGGATGCCACCAGGTTGGGGCACAACTCTTCAAATTTCTAAGCAAAGTAAATATTGATTTATTAATTATTTGATTAGTTTATTCTGATGCAGAGCTGAAATTAATTTATTTTGATTCAGAGCTGAATCTGAGTGCTGAAAAATGGATTAGGATTCAACTTTCACAACTGTATTCGACACGACCAGGGGCTGACACAGGATTTAAGTGAGGGTGGTGCAAGATTTATTTAGGAACAAAAAAATTCAGAATTAAAAACAAAAAATTGCGCCGCCAACGAAATTTTTTTTTGACGTAAGACTATAAAAGAGACAAAATTCATGACTAACGATTAAAAAACTAGATTTGTTACTTTTCACACATTATGTTTATTAAGAAAAATCTTTTTCCTGTTTTGCATTAGAAAGAACTTTAGCATGCTATTCTGAAAATAGGAACAAAAATAAAGGATTAGGACAGGAATTTAGGAACAATTAAAAGATTGTTCAGGAATTAGGAACAATAAAGGATTGGGCAGTGCTTAGGATCCGGATCCGTTGGATCCGCAAGATTTTGGCTTCTTGGATCTGGATCCAAGGGGCAAAATATCAACCAAAAACTGCAAGAAAACGAAATTTTAATCTCAAAACCCAAATCTAAATTATTGAAAAAATAGAAATTATAAAAATTTTCTAATTTCTGAATGGTTCTACAAGTTTCAGCATTAAAATAACCAAAAAAAAAGACGAAAAGTTTAAAATTTTTGCTTTGTTTAAAAAATTCAGTAAATTTTAAAGAAATAACCTGGATCTGGATCCGGATCCATTTTTTTCCAGTGCGGATCCAGGATCCGGATCCGGATCCGCATCAAAATTAGTTGGATCCTAAGCACTGGGATTAGGACAGGAATTTAGGAACAATTAAAAGATTGTTCAATGTTCAGCTTGAAATTGAAAAACACATAGGATTTATCAAATTGGGAACATTTATTGCCTAGAAATCTGTCAGGGGGGGGCGAATGTCCCCCCCCCCCTGGACTCGACTATGAAGCAAAGTTTTTTTATTTTCATCTTATTATGCTAAAGCTTAATGGATATCAGGAAGTTTGCACAGATTACGAAGTTGCGGTATTAAAAGTTAACCGAGGCTGTGAAGGTTATGTAGGTGTCATAGGACCCCACAAACAGAAGAAACTGATTTCCTCTGGGATGTTATGCCATAACGGCCTCAACCTGGGCGGGATTGACCTGTTAAATATTCAAAGTTAATTCTCAATAAAACTTAAATCATCATGATAAAAGTCTATATTTTGAATCAAAACTTGTTGAAATTGTGCAAACATGTTCAAATTCAGTATTTTAAAATCAGCGATCAATAAAGAATTACTGAGCACATATGCTCCAGCTCCATGACATCTTCTGCAGTTTTCAGCATATTAGCAGTGATCTTCTTACCCACTGAAATTAGAGTAAAAATATAGAAAGCTTTAATGTTTGTAGTATCAAGATGTTTTCAGTCATTTAATATTTCTTTTCAATAATTAAACACTTCAACCCACCCACCCCCGTCAATCAAAAAATCATCTTTTGTAAGCTCCTGTACTCAAAATATTGTTCAACAATTTCTTTTTTATTAATAACTAGCTGAAGGGCCTGGTGTTGCCTGTGGAATTTTTTTTTAAATCTTGAGAAAAAATTTCGAATACCTTTTAGCCTATAGCACTCTTGGCCACCCGTTAGTGTCCACAAAAAAAATTCAGCACAATCAGTCCAGCTTTTTTGCCGGCTATACGCAACATTTACATGAATGTCTCATTTCACTATATAGATTATTACCTTCTTTAGCCTCCTCCTCCTTGCTTGAAGAGGTTGCTTTATTCTCCGATAGCTTTTTATCAAAAAACTCTTTCATTTCAGAGAATCTGATTTCCAAGAACTCGACTAAAGAGCAGCCATCCGGCAAACCTGGAAAGTTCTCCAGGGTTCCGATCTGCAGCTGGTTTGGATTCACAGTAAGCTCCTTGGTTGGCTCCCCAACTGGAAACGAGGTTGGAACCACATCAGCAGGCTCCTTGGTCAGATTTACAGGCCCCTTGGTCAGATTCACATCAGGCTCCGTGGTTGTATTCACAACAGGGTTCGAGGTTGTATTCACAACAGGGTTCGAGGTTGTATTCACGACAGGGTTCGAGGTTGGACTTACATCAGTTGGATTCACATCAGGCGACTGGGATTGATTCATACTGGGCTCCGGAGTTGGATAGTATCCAAATCCCGATTCAGGATACACATATCCAGGCCCGTATACGCCTCCTGAATTAGACTCGTACCTAGGCTCATATCCATATCCATATCCAACATATCGATCACCTCCAATACCTCCAGTTGAATCTTGATATGTACCAACCTAAACAAAAATCTTAATTAACAGCTGACAGACAGAGTTTTCCTTTTCACAAATAAATAGCAGTATGGAAAATTTACAAAAAATACAAAAAAATTATTTTTTACACAGTAACACAATGAATCCTTCACAAATAAAAACTGGAAAATTGGTCTTTATATGATAATTAAAGTGGAAAACTTTTACTAGTGAATGTGAACATGAAATTTTGAGAACCATAATTAAAAATTAAATTAATAAATTAAATTGAAGCTTCAGATTTAAAATTTACATAATTGAAACATATTTTTATGGGTTATTGTCGGGCAAGGTGTTAAAAATTTGTATATGTAACTTATTTTGAAACCAGCTAATGTATATTTTCGATTTCCCCCAACAAATTTGGAAAAGTTTTTGTTTAACTGAAAACCAAAATTTATCATATGTCTAAGATTTACGTGGAAACTAATACCTTCTCCGATTGAGATTGCGAGATCTCCTTCATCACATCCTTCTCAAACTGATCTTGATAATCATTTGTAAAAATCAAAAGAACTTAATTCTTAATTCTTCATAAAAACTTGTGCGCAATATTTTCCATCACGTCGTAACACTTTTTTGTACATTATTCATTCTGCGCAAATTGCTCAAAAACATTTATAACTAATAATTACTACTTAACCGGGAGATTAAGGGAGGATAATTAAAATGAGGGGAAAACCACTTAGCCGAGGGCCTCCAAGACCCTCTTGGGGTTCTAAACCTGACGAGCGTAGGGAGGGAGGTTTAGAACCCCAAAAAGGTCGAGGAGGCCCAAGGCTAAGTGGTTTTCCCCTCAATTTAATTATCCTCATGAAAACTCCCGGTTAAGTAGTAATTTATCGTTTAATCTCCTGTTCAACGAAATAACCAACCGTGGGGGATAAAATAATAATGAAATCAATAAAACTATCAATTATGATTTTAATTCTCTTATTTCTTACTAATGCATATGGAAGAATATTTAATAAGCAAATTTAATGATTTCTAAAAATAGTAATTGGGTTTCTAAATTTCTCAATATTTTTGTGAAAACTTTGCAACATTTTTGTGAAAACTTCACAAAATTTGTATAGATATTCAGAAACTTCGCATTCAAGAAAGAGCTTCCGTACCATTAACATGTCATCCATCATTTTTCTCAAATCTGCTCTTGAGCTTTTAAAGCCGGATTATAGAAAAAAGGTAAGAACTAAATTGAAAAAGAATTGTCTTAAAATTGATATAAATCAAATTGGTGAGCTCCTGGTGTCAATGATCTCTTTTTTAGTGCCAGAAAACCTGGATGAACTTCATAGAACATACTGGATGAAACAGCGCTCAGACAAGAAGGAAACCAAGTTCCTAGTTCCTAACGATGGGCCAGTAAATTTTGCAGCTGTTATTGATGATTATCTGAACGTGATTAAAAGTAGCCTTGGTCATTTCACGGGTCGAGTATTTTTTAAGGGTACTCCTGCTGCATATGCTGACCAGCCTATGGGGAAAAATCTTGTAAGTAAAGTGCCATGTGAAATGGCAACAGTTCTTGGTCTAGATAATCCAGTATCTTTTACATTTCATTCTCTACGTCGCTCGTCCGCCACAGCAGCAGCTGACAGCGGAGCATCCGTTCAACAGCTTATGGATTTTTATGGATGGTCTAATCCGAGCATGCCTCAAGAATATGTATCATCAAGCAAAGCTTCTGTAAAATCCATGGCTGATAAACTTCAAGGACCTTCTAATCAAGTAGAAAAAACATAGGTTAGCGAAGTCAGAATAGAGAATATTGAAAAGTGTTCCTTAGCTTCACCTCCTCAGAGTAGAAAGCCCTATGTGATTCAAAATACAGACAAAATGGTAATTATCGAACATTTTCATGGGAACAACTTTACAATGTAATTATGTAAACCCGAAAAGAATGATGTAATATAATATATTTGATGACAGCTCAGTAAAGCTGTATGTACATGTTTTGATCTTTCCTAGATCAAATATTAAACTAGGTGTAGTTTACTATTTTATTCAAAATTGATTGAGAGAGCGATAAATGTAAAAATAAAATTAAATTAGAGAACTATTTATTTGATAAATCTGTATGGATCACAGGGAGGATAATTACTTATCCTCCCTGTAAAGAGGGAGGATAAGTAATTATCCTCCCTGTAAATAGGGAGGATAAGTAATTATCCTCCCTGGAAATAAAAAAGTAGGGAATTTAAGGTTGGTTATTTCGTTGAACAGGAGATTAATATTCTAAAACTTTCTTTAAAAATAACAATTTCAACATTTAATAAATAAATCTAACATCAAATAACACCAAATAAAGATTAAGGGGCTGTATGCATATTTTCAAAAGACCCTCAATTGATAGCATCCTGTCAGATTAGCATAAAAGCTTTGTATATCAAGTATTATTGTGATATTTTATTTTTATTGGTCATCTCTGTACTAAAGCTCATTGAGAAATTATCAGAAAACAATGTTTTCTTACATTACATTATTTAAAGTTACCTCCAAGGTTCTGTATACAGGGTGGCTCTAGAGGACCCTTAGGAAAACCATAATTGTACTCTTGGTCCAAGCTCATCACATAGTCGTTAAGGTGAGGAGGCTGAGTTACATTTCGTGAGGGCCTTGATCTTTTAGATGGCTTAGTCATCTGAAAAAGTTAACATTTTTAATTATGCATTGCAGTATCACAATACATTAATATATAAAGATTTAGGCAGCCTTGGTAAGATTACATACAATGTACATATTTTGTTAACAAAAATACAGTGCAGAAGTTCTAAAATTCTAAAAGTGTAATTTCAAGTGACCCTCCATACAAATAGGGGAATGCCAGGTTTACAACCTTTGTGTGCTTAACAAAAAGTTACTTTGTCACTTGAAATTTGAAATTACACTTTCAGTCCAAATGAAATAAATTTAAAAATCGGATACTTTGATGAAAGTTAAAAATATTACAGCATACATAATTTACATACAAATAATACTAGACAATTTTTCAGTGTGTGTGTGGGGGGGGGGGGGGGTTGATGCGGAAGAGGGAAACTAGATTGTGTGGAGTAGAGGAATGCATGTAACAATTTCGTTGTGCTGTATTTTAATGCACTTTTTAACCAATCTATCCCTAGCAATGTAAACCTCTCTAAAATTTTGAAAACAAAATTGCATAATAGAAAGTAATAGAGAATTACAATGCAGATTATAAACATGGGACACATTTAAATAAACTCGACAAAGGATAGAATCATTGACCATGTCTTTAACATTCACAACTTCAACTAAATTTCTTTCTATTACAAAAGTTGTTATATTTGCGTGAACTGGACTGAAGCAGAAGAAAGATACATTGATAGTTTCATAATATCTATTAGCAAACTCAGTTAGGGGATGTGTACGAGATCTCAAAAATCTACAAAATTTAGAATTAAATGATTCAAAAAGAAATGCACTATTGGATGTAAGGGGTCCATGTCGTCTGGCATCCTCAGCATAATGAAGAATTCCATGGAAATTAAAAGTCAAAAAAGATGTTCCATACATATATCTACTTTGAACTAGAAAAGTGTGAATAAGTTTATGGGCATATTCTGAATGTTCATCTATGTATTTTTGATTTTTGAGCAAAGAAATCCCTTGGTGAAGGCACATGAAACTTTGATATTGGTCAGGGGGTATATCTTGTAGTACAAAAGGTGCTGCTTAAAGAAGGAAGACTCTAAAATCGTCTGATTTGTAATTTTTGAAATCTGAAATTTCCTTTGGTTTGTGATCAAAGCATTTGTAAACAACAGATTTATTAAAAATAGCTATTCTCGAGTTGATACGTTGTATAAGAGCTTCAGGAAATTTAGGAAAAATATTATTTCCACAAACTCAAATTTCGATAATTCTTTTTACTACACCTCCAAACCCCCCATGCATTAAATCCATGTTTACATCCCTGACTATATCTAGATCTCTCAAAATAGTAAGAGGGCTTCTAGAAGCTGGTAGTTGGTTATCAGCAGAGTGGGATCTAAACTCATCATTTGTATGTAAACCATGCATTCTTAAGGGGTCTTTAGGTATTTCAAAAAGAACTTTATGGCTGTCATAGCACCAATAACCCTTTATTTTGCAACAGTCACAAGCACCTTCTTTTGAGTTAAAGGAATTAATAGCTTTTACAAAGGATTTAGCAGGTAAATCACAGCATATTAATTTTAGGACGAATCTTACATTTTGAAATCCATTATCAAACAAGCTTTGAAGAGAAGTCATGGTTTCCTTCATGAAGTCTAAGCTAACAGGTTTACCTTTTCCATAACACATAGCAAGCGGGAAAACTATATCCTTTTTAAGGCCATGAATTTTACCCAGAATACTCCAAAATCCCATTTTTGAATGGTGAAACTCCATCAATGTTCAAACTTATTGAGAGGATATCAGGAATTTGGCCAATTTTTGACCTGTATTCTTTGAATAGGATCTTTAATTGGTTTAAAGGTTCGAAAAAAAATATCGCTGTCCAGATTTATTTCTTATTACAATTTTTTCACTCTTTTTAAAAATAGTTCTGCTGTCCTTGGGTAAATCAGACATGAAAGTAAAGGAACCTGCGTGTTTTCATAGAATTTTCAGCAGACTACTGATGGCTATGCGGGGGATGTTGAATTGAATTGCCCAGGTTTTAAAATCTTCCAAAAACCCTTCCAGAGTTCCGACCACTTTAATCGTATCTGGATCTAAAGAAAAAATCGAATAAACAACTTAGTTCAAAGTTTTAGAATAAAGTTTTAATACATCCGTTTCCTCGTTTTAATTTTCTATCAGTTTCTGCATTTTGGTCTATTTCAAGTTTTAGGAAAAAGTTTTAAATTCAGCAGAATAAAAGGTTAAAGCTGTTTTTATTTTTTTTTGGTAAAAAGTGAAAAGCTAAAAGTATGGTTCAATGAACAGTGCTTAGGATCCAACTAATTTTGATGCGGATCCGGATCCTGGATCCGCACTGGAAAAAAGTGTATCCGCATCCAAATCCAGATCTGGATCCAGATCCAGGTTATTTCTTTTTTCCGGATATTTTTATGCTAAAACTTGTTGAACCATTCAGAAATTAGGAAATTTTTAAAATTTCTCTTTTGTCTAGTTCAGATGTGGGTTGAGATTAAAATTTAGTTTTAGTAATTGGTTTAGAATTATGTTTATTTTCTTTAAAAGAAATTATCCGAATTCAAAACTTATCAAGCCAGATCAAATTAAAACTTCATGTGTACCGTTGATAATGGGGCATGCCATCTTTAAATAGAGGGTCCCTTTAAGATCTATGGATGTAATGGAATAGGGTTTCTTCTTTTAATTTGAATGATTTAGAACTATTCATAAGAAATATTTATTCTTCTTTAATTTCTTCTTTATTTTCTTATTCATGAAGTTCAACTGAAAAAAAACAATATTTACGAAATTATCATATATACATACATTTGTTAAGGATAATCTATATTCAATATATATTTTGAAATAAACTATTATCTTCTTATTATTTTTAGAAATTTACTTACATCAGTTGGACAAATTCTATATTTTTATTCTTTCCTATCCATTCTCTTCAGTCCTAAATTCACATTCATTTTGGATAAACAAATAAACAAATTTGATAAATCAATTTTCTTTGAATGTTTGCTTTTGATTTACTTTTCTTTAAATCCAAATAAAATGCCTGATGTTTCCATTCTAACTTTTTAACTCCTACTGGCCTAACTATCTGTGCATTTCTACCTGCGCACTGTGCAGTGTGCATAAACTTTCAAATCTTACAAACTATAAATATACATAAAACATGAGGAAATAAATCACAATATTATTTTAATACAATGGAATGGGGCAAAACACACCCACAAATTATATTCAATTATAATCTGAAAATGCTCCTTTTAAAGGGACTGTTAATGTAATTTCAAGTTCGACCCTCTATGCAAAGAAGGCAATGCCCTGCAATTCACAACAGTACCCTTAAAAACTTTCACTGATCAATAATGTGGAAGATGTCTTTTTTTACGGTTAAAAACTGTAAAATTCTTATAATATCTATCCGTTTTACTGTAGTAGAAATGAACAGGTCACATGTCAAAATAATCAGTTTTTAAATTTCTTAACATTGATATTTAATTCATACATTATCAAACAAAGCTTGTGAGAATCGGAAGTTGACATCTTTACTTGAAATTACAGAATCATTTTTAATGGGAATCGCTACAGGCTCCTAAAAATTGAATTTCACTTTTTTAGTATTACAAGTACTTTATCTATTCAAGAGTGATGAACCATAATATCAGAAAAATCATTTTTAACAGATGCACTAAAAAAGCTTT